CTTACAGCTGGTGCTGTCCACCGAGCCAGCTGTCCTCTTGGCCTCAGGTTTTCCCACCAGGAATGCCCCTGGCATCCACCTTGTACATTTGGTTTTCTAACAGTGGAGAAAATCCAATGTACCCATTTACCCCTTTTACTAAGAGTCCCTTACTCTGTGGGCTGTGCATACAAATACCTGACCTAATCATAGCCCTTTGCCAGCCAATCCAAGATTCCTGGAGAACAAAGGGTTTTGCTTACTGCTCCACGGAAAGGCCCAGTGACCTCCCCACGGTCCTCCCAGTTTTCGACCGTTTTTCCTTTCAGCCACAGAACTCACCAGTTCTTTTCCAAACGTCCTTCTGCCTCGTCGGCCAAGTGTCCACCCTCCCTGGCTTCCCCCTGAGTGACAGTCTTTCTTTCCTTAGCTGTATGTGTCCCTTCCTGGAAGACAGCAGTGTTGCCTCGCTATATATGATGAGATCATTTCAGAGGACTCTTTCCCTATTTGTTTTTTTCCTTTGAAATATAATAAAAAAAGATAAATCTTGTTACCTCTCTGATCTTGGTTTAATATTTTCTCTTCTGCATTGAGTCATCACTATATTCTTAGTTCTAATTTGACCAAAATAATCTATATACATGATAGATGTTGATAATTATTTATTAAACATAAAATTATAATGTCATTGAAAAAAAAATCTCTCAATGAGATGCGTGGGCTTTATCATGTAGTTTATGAATCTGTGGTGAATACTACTTGTTCTTAGAATGACAGAGGCTTCTACAATTCTATTCCAATTTTATGTCTTTTTAATATTTTATATTATTGGAAATTTCAAATATTCATTAACTAGGAAGACTAATAATTACAATGATCATTTGCTTCTTTTTATATTTGTCTACAAACTGTGCTTTCTAGCTGCATATAAACCATTGGCATGTATCTTTGCTTAGTCAACTTTTATTGAAAGAATAGTTTAAGTGTCTGTCCTTATTCGACTTCTCTAATTATTACACACAAAACATTACTATTATTTTTATTAGACTGCTGGAATGTTGACTATGGAGGTATGTAGCTTTGCTCCTCTTGGGGGACGAGGCAGATTTCCTGGTCATTCAGAGGACTGTGCTCCGCTGAGCCCTGATGCAGCTCAAAATCCTCTCAACATGGCTCTCCAGGCAACTACCCCCAACCAACCAGAGTGGGCATGGAGCCTAAAGCAGTTATGTCCTCATATCTTTTTTTTTTTTGGAAGAATAACATCTATTATTTTTGCAAATGTTGTGCATTTTAAGAATAAAAATTAAGCTGTGTTGAAAAGTTCACAAAGAAAGTGAACTCTTACTCCAAATTTCTCCACCACTACATACCCATGTGAGTTTTAGAGTATTACTTTGTACCCGTCTCTTTGTAACTCTAGAGATAAAGCTAAGTAGAAATAGTTTTATAAAAATGGGATCACTATATGCATATATTTTAAATAAAAAGTATATTTTTTCTTGAATCTAATGGAAGAAAAAAAGCAAGGAATTGCTCAACTTCAGCTCATTTTTTTAAACAAGAAGAGATATTCATTCTTAAAAGATACTTCAAAAATCAAGAAAAATATTATGAAATAGATTAAGGGGATGAGGAAAAATGCTTTTAAATTACATGCTTCAAATTGGGCAATATCTATTAGTGCCTTTTTAAAAAATATGGGAATATTAGGTCATCTGCGTCTTCACCTCTGTTCCTCACACTTCCTATTTTTTCTTAGTGAAATTGTTGCACATTGTTGGAATTCTTATTAGTATTTTAATTTGTAACTATAATTCCCACCATTGTTTAATCTTAATTAAACACTGAAATCCATTTAGTGCTCACTGCCAGTACTTTTTAACCATGGCTTTGCCATTGACAAGTCCTTTTATTTTGAAGCATCGTTGGTTCGCTATATTTTGCCAGCAGTTACCTTTTTCATCAAGTCTCATTGGTATTGTTTTTGAGTTTTTAACGCCTTTTTAAAGTGCTTAACATTCTCATCTTTATGCTTGGAGGGCAGATAATTAAATTGTCCTAACGATTCTGTGATCCAGACACAAAATGATCATGCTATTTCTTCCCAAAGTGACGTAAGAGTGGCCCCCGTCACCAGCATTTGGTGTTCCTTGCAATCCTGTCTGAGGTCTGGAGGACACTCCTTTTGCTCACAGCTGCACTAGGAGGCCCTCTCTGCCTACTAGTCGTCTCTCTCCAGTCCCTTTCTGCTCTTGGCCCAGCCGAGTACCTTTTCCTTCTTTACCACGTGCATCATAATTCTGGCGTCGGTTCATCCTCCACGAGATTTAACTTTTCTAGCACCAGCTCTGAAGAGATCTTGTTTCTCGCAAAATTTCCTCTTTCTTTCTCACAAGGAATATGCATTCTGTCCTTGGCACCTCTGAAAATTGAAGTAAATTATTTTCCTAAGTCTTTCTGCAGGTTTTGCTACTTACTCCAATAAGGTTTTCCTGGTCATCTCTCTCCCCTTTTTTCTGACCTCAATGCTTCTTCAGTTCAGGATACAGTTGCTTGCTTTGAGCAGTCCTTTATTATATCTAAAAACGAGGTCCTTACCAATGAGAGACCTATTACTCTACGGCTCCGAGATGCCAACTGTTTCAAAGTCTGGTAGCTGATTAGCGACATCTAATTTGGTGTCTGTCTTTGACTCTTGCCCACTAAATAAACGGCAGAGGTCACTATAATAATCCTTTTTATGAGCATGGTAAAAATACAAAGTCTACTAATTTGGGGTGAGACCTGGTTTGTGAGGCTGATGAGGGAGACAGACAGGGCAACAATTCTGTGAGTATTGCTTTAACTGGGTGAGAGGAGGGATGGTGGGAGACGATGATCTAAATCTGTTTAAAGGCTCCAGGAAAGACTTTGCGAAGAATTGGGCATTTGAAAGGAGACTTGAAGATCAAGCCAGAGTTTGTCAGGAAGTCAAGCCTTGGGGGAGAGTACAGGAGAGAGTGACAAAACGCACGAAGCAGGGGCAGCGAGGAAAAGCTTGGTGGCTGTGGGAACTCCAAGTAGCTTAGTGTGGCCTGGAAGGAGAGTTGGAACCTCTGGCTGATGAGGTGGACAGACCCGTGCATGCCATACAGAAGAGTTCAGATTTTATCTTGCAGGTGAAGGAAAGACAGGGAATAATTTTGAAAGGCAGGCATTTGGTATAATCAGATTTGCATGCCATAGAGGTCCCTCTGGCAGAGAGGGGGAGCCGCTGTCAGAGGGTGAGCCTAGAGGCAGTGAGACAGAAGGGTACTGTACCTGGCCAGGTGCTAGGTGACAGGCTTGCCGTAAGCCTGACTGACAAGGAGGGTGGTGGATGTGGGGCCAAGTGGGGGACACAATAAGAGATTACTTAGATGATCTTGAAGAAGACAGCAGGTCTTATGCACGTGACCTGGTATAACACTGGCTCTGTTCCTATTGGCTATATGAACATGGGAAAGTCATTGATCAATCTTGAACTCAATTTCCTCACCAGTATATGGGGGCAAAAATGCTTGACCCCAGATTGTTGTGAATAATTTATATAAAGTCCTTCAGAAAATGCCTGGTGCCCAGTGACTCTGCAAAATAGGGTATCTGTCCCCATCCCCACCCTCCTTACCACATAATGTTCTTTGACACTGGGAACAATTATGCCATCAACTCTCTGGACAATGGGATAAAAATTCTGTATTTTTGGCTACCCTTGTACAACTAAAATGTTCAGACTATGAGTCAGGAATATAAAATCAATTAAACGCTAGCTGAGCAAACTGCATAAGACATCTTTCTAGTCACAGGGGGAATAGGTACTTCACACCGATCACCTCTGCTCACAGGTGCTCAGGACTGTAGCTCCACCGGGAGGGTAAGGAGGGGAGGAAGTACATCGCTGCTTCTCTGACTGTCACATCGCTTCTAAACCTAATACTTGCAACTGCCACTAATTAAGTATTTAATATGTACCAGCACCGTGTGCCAAATATTTTAATTATGTCACTTCGTTCTTGAAATAAACGTATGATATAGAAATTGTTCAATCTATTTTGCAGATTAAGATGATTGAATCGAAAGCACTGTAAATAGTTTGCTCTAGGTCCCTTAGAAAATAATAATTCTAAACAAGGAACTGTATCAGTTAGCTTTTTATTTTTATTTATTTTTTATTTTTTAATTTCTTAATTTGTTTTTGTTACAGATGTTTCTCATTTCCCCCCCATTTCCCTCCTCCCCTTCCCCCCTGCCCCATCCCCAGCTCTGCTGTCTATGTTTATGGTCATGCATACATGCATGTAAGTTCTGTGGTTTATCTCTTCCCCTCAGTTAGCGTTTGCTGAATAGCAAACCACCCTAAAATGTAGTGGTTTCAAATAACTACCATTTACTATTACTCATAAGTCTAAGGGGCAGTGGGGTGTTTTTGATGACCTGGGTCAGGTGGCTGGTATCAGCTGGGCTTACTCTCATGTCTGTGGTCACATTAAGAACTGGCTAGTCTTGAATGGCCTCTCTCAGTAGCCTCTCTAGCTGTTGGCCAGCTGTCTATTGGAGTAGTGAGAGTGCCTGGGCCTCACTGACCTGCAGGCCAACCTGGGTTTGCTCCTGTGGCAGACAGGGAGTGTTTCGAGACCAAGACCAAACGAGAGCAGACACTTGCAGCCCTGGCTCAAAATATTGCTCCTGCTCCATCCTTTTGGCTGAAACCACACAAGGCCAATCTAGGTATACAGGGTGGGGAAGCAGATTCTGCCTCCTGATGGAAGAAGTACAAAGATTTGTGGCCATTTTTATTACATATCACACAAGCCTAGGTGTGGCTTTGGGCTCCAACATCCATGAAACTGAAGTGAAGGATATTATTTTTATCTTTATTTTATAGATTAGGAAAAACCCTGAGGTTCAAAGATATTAAGCAGCTGGCTCAAAGTCCCTTGACTAGTGAGTAGCTGAATCGTGGTGGGAAGCTGAGCACGTCTTCTTCCAATGTCAATGAATTTCTTCTGGACCTGGTAGGTGACACTCAGGGTTCTGAGTCTGTGAGATGTAGAGCCACTCACTGTTATGGGTGAAAGAAACCTCAGAGTTGTCTAGTTCATTAGCTGATAGACTTCTGAATTTCTAAAGTCTCTATAATTTCAAAAAACATTTGGCAACCAATACAGATTTGTTAATGTGTTTTTTTTCCTGCCAAATCAAGACACTATAAAAACCATCTCCTAACATCCTCATTTCATTTACAAAAGAGAGAGAGAGAACATTCTAAGACCCAAAGCACAGTTTTTAAATAAAGATCAATTATTTAACTTGAATTAATTCATTTTTGTGAAAAACTTACCACTTTGTCTTTATTTTTGCTTATTTTGTTGTGGGTCAGTGATATCTTTCCATTGCTCAAAGAACCACCATATAGGAGCCACCATATAGGAGCCACTATATCTCTCTTTATTTGTTGGTACCTGAATACCTTCTAGAACATTCCTAACATGGTCTTTCATCATTGCCTGCATACTTCTAGTGACCGAGATCACTATTATCTAAAGCAATTCACTCCATCTTTAGACAGCTGTACACACAAAAAAGTTCTCTTATATTGAACCAAAATTCTTCTCTCAGTGAAACTTACCCCTTAGCTGAAGTTCATCTTTTGGTGCGCAACTAGAAATGTTGAATGCTCGCTCCAAGCTGTTTGAAAATGGCCACGGCTCCGGGAGTTGTCCTTGATTCTCGTCCCTTTGGCCTCCACTTGTACAGCACTGGCTTTGGGCGCCACATGCTCTTGTCCTGCTCCAAGGCTTCGCCAGTTTGACTACATCTGTCTTCATGTGGGTGTAGAAGTCAGGCCTGATCAGCTGCAGTAGATTAGGCCATACATTTTCTCTTTCTACATGATTCTTCTATTAATGAGGTTTAAGATCAGTGTAGCCTTTGCAGGAAATCTTGTCAAGCTGTTGGCTCAAGACTCAAATTTTGACTTCAGTTTCTGTGTGAATCAAATGTGAGTGCTCTAGAGCCGTTTGAAAGGCTCAGTGGGCACTCATCGAAACCCAGTGCAACTTCAGCAGCACTCAGAGAATGTCACCGACCAGGCCCTGTGATGGGTGCTGGGACTATAAACAAGAAAAGATAGTTTCTGTTCTCAAGGAAGTCAAAGTCCAGAAAACCAAACAGACATGCAAACATAAAACAAGATCATCAGCTATTTTGGTGGTGTGTACCAAGTGAGATGAGAGACTAGGAAAAGCGGCATCAATGCCTCCCCAAGGATTAAGGAAGCCTTCATAGAGGGTGCAGCCTCTGAACCAAGGCCTGGGGACTGTTAGGATTTGCCAGGTGGGCCTGGTCTCCCTACTTTGGGGCAGGTATTGCCTCATAAAGGTTAAAGAGCACAGTATTTGAGATGAGACCATCTGGATTCCAGGCATGGTACTGCCACTCCTCACAGTTATACCTCCCTGTATGTCAGCTTCCTTCTCAAGAACGTTACTGCTCCCCTCTCAATGCATTGGGAGCATTAAGTGAGATAATATGAATAAAGTTCTTGAGATAATGCGGGTGTATAATGTGGTAACTATTATTCCAAATGGCTCAAGTTCTAAGCCCTACTAGCTGTATCAAGGACAATCTTTAACTTTCTTTACCTTGCACTCTCCCCAGAGCAGTGAGGAGTGCATCCAGGATGTATCTTTATCTGTCAAAATCTCGAAGACCACAGGGTAGACCAAGAGGCTGCTGCATTGAGACGTTCTGACATTAAGTGAAGCAGCAGGTTAGTCTGAGACCATCAGGTTCACATTTCTCTTCTGAAATGTAATCAATGGAAACCCAACCCAACATTAAAAAATATATTTTTAAAGTTTTACATAATTTCAAACATAGGAAAAAAAATGACAAGAATAAGTTTAGTACAAAGGAGAACCATATGCCCTATATTCAGATTCTCCTATTGTTAACATTCTGCTCTATTTGCTTTATCATTTCCTCTTTTTCCCATACATTCACTCACACACACACACACACACACACACACACACACACACACACTTTTTCTGAACCATTTGGTGTAAGTTGCATCTATTGTAGCCTTTACACTAAATCTTGCAGTGTCTATTTGCTAGGAATATTAATATTCTCTTACACAACAATGTGCTTGACAACTTCAGTAAACACTGATACAATTTTTGAAATATAATCTACTCTTCTTATTCCAGCTTTGTTAATTGACCCAATAATGCCCTTATAGCATATTTTTAACCTCCATTATAGAATCCAAAAGTCAGAACTGTATAAAAAACTACACCCAGGGGAGTGTCACTTCCGTACCTCCCTGTTTCCTCACCCTGTAGGTAACCACATTAATTGTTTCCAGTTTGTCCTTTTTTAGTGGTGAGATAAGCAGATTTATATCTTTTCTTATCTTCCCTATCGTTTTACATAAAAGGTAGCATACCTTATATGTTATTTTGCATTGTGCTTGTGTTACCTAAAAATAGCTCCTGGAAATCACTCTATGTCATTGTATAAAGATCATTATTCTTTTGTATAACAGCACAGTACCCCATTGTGTAATATTATGGTTTATTCAACCAGTCTCCTATGCTTGGGCATTTAGGTAGTTTTCAATGTTTTGCAAATAAAACTGATGCTACCCTGAATAACTTTGTTTATATGTAGTTTCATATTGTTAGAGGTGCATATTCAGGGTAAATTTCTCAAAGTGATATTGCTGGGTTGAAGGGTAACTACATATACAGCTTTGTTATATATTGACAGATATCCTTTAGAGAGGTCACTCTATTTTACATTCCCACCAGGCAGACAGTGCCTGGGAAACCCAACATTTTGACTTTATTCAAAATGTGGTAATAAGTCAGAAGGGATTCAGGAATCAGGACAGAATGAAAATCCAGGATCAGGTGCTGCATGGAGTGGGAAAAAAGGTGCCCAGCACAAAACCACTCCACAAAATGCTTTTCCAGATACTTGGACATCATCTGTTTAAGGGCAGGGCAATCTTACTTCATTTTCCCCTCTGGCTACGCATCTCTAGTAAGAGACCTTAGAAAGATGCCAAGAACGTAGTTGATGACCTATAGATATTGAAGTACTGACTGTTTAAATGAATGAAAGAATAAACTAGCAACACCTGACATTGCCCATGGAATAAATAAACCTGGCAGGGAGATTATTTTGAAGGAACAAATCTCACCTCTTCTTCTCCCCTTCCCTCCTAGACAGATGCTTCCTTGTACAGCCGTTCCCGAGGACTGAGCAGTTTGAAGTTTCCAAAGATGAAAACATGTAAGCTGTCCTTGCATTAGGAGATGTGGCTGCACAGAGGCCTATTGTCTGCAGGGACACAGGGAGCTCTGTGGTGAAAGGGGAGTGTCCTACCCTGCAGCCGGGTCTTTTCAGCCTGAGCATTGCCTTTTCTCTCTGGAATGTAATATTCTACCCCTGCCCTCCGAGTGGCATTGTGCACTAGCAGGGTCAGCAGTGGGGGTGCACTGGCAGGGAAATAATCTCTGTGCAGGCAACCCAATAAGTCAGAGGCAGCATCAGGAGGCACAGCCAGGACGATGCCTCTGAATGAGCGCTTTGTGCAGGTCTCGGTGGCCGTGGCTGGAGACGCACCTTCCTCTTGCTGCTCACCTGGTGGCTGAACAAAGCTGCCTTTCAGGCCTCGGGCCCCACAGCAAACATTGCGCAGGTGATAGACCTGCTTCCCTGCCCTGCCTTGGCCCCCGGATCGCATTTCCGCCTGGCATTACTCGCGGGTTGCCACTAGGGCCCGTCCTCCCTCCAGGATTATGAAACAGCAAAACTAGCCTCTCGGGAGGTGGGCCCCTCTTCTGAGGGGTCACTACAACTTCGAGGACTTCTTTTCAGGCACAGGGGAGCAGGCACTCTCATCTAGGTTCTGCCGGCTTCGGCATGGTCACACAGCGTGCAGGGTGTCTAGCCTCCAGCATTTATGAAATTCCTTCCCCATTTGCTCTCCGCGATGGTCTTAGACGTCAATGGGACGACTTTCACCTAAAGGAAAACGGAGCTGTGACGAGCCGACGCGGGTCCAGGGTGGCGCAGTCTTCCCACTCTGGGTTCAGAGTTCGTACTAGGACTGTCACCCTTGTCTCCCAGGAACGGGTGCGACGGTGGGGGCTGCAGCATTACTTTGGGTTTTGTTCTGGCTAGCAGCCAGACTTGCAAGGACGAGAGGTATTTTCACTTCCCCTAATATGAGAGAAGAGCCAAGTGTCTCTGTTGTGAGTTTGGGTTCTTGTCTAAGGTCAGCAGTTTTTGTGTGTCAGGGTTAACAACAGAAGTGGTGGAGCACCTGCGGTCGGCACGCACGTCCACGGGGAGAGGCAGTGCTGCCGTTGAAGGGAATAGAGAGGGTTCGTGCAGAGCCAAAGAATGGATCTCCCTCTTCTCTGACTGAGACAGGCTCATAGTTTGGGGTGCTTCCATGAGTGACAGACCTGTGGCCCATCTGGAGATGTCTGCGAGAGCATGCAGAGGCCTGTTGCTGACACGGATGCTGCTGGGGCAGGTGTGGGCCACGGCGGAGCCTGTGTTGATCGGAGAGGGCTCCTGAGAGCATCCCCGAGCCCACCTGAAGCCCATCACCTGCCAGGTGGCGGAGGGCGGTGTGCCCCCTCGCCTCGTGTGTAGCATGGACGACTGTAAGGACGGCGAACACCGTGGAGTAATCCCTCAGTGTGTGAACACCACATAAACCTCCGAGGTTGTTTTTAAAACCTGAGGAAGGAAAGGAAATCCTCGCCAAAAAAATGACTGAAATTGAATCCTCCCCGACTTTAAGCAAGTAGGAGCTCAGAGTCAAATTTAATTTGCTAAAAGAAAATAAAACAACTCACCCATTCATTCACTCATTCGACAATATTTATTGGGTTGTTACTTTGAGTCACTGTGTTCCTAAAGAAAGTGAGTATATCCTTCTCTGGACATCTTAACAAAATTTGATTTAAATGGATTATTTTGATATTTTACTCCTATAATGGTTCTGTTTTCTCTCTCATGCCTTCTCTTTATGAATCATTTGCCACAGTGTTTGCATAAATCCTACATTTCCTTCAAAATGTGGCATAAATACCTCCTTTTCCCAAGGTACTTTTTTTTCCTTCCACCCAACTCATAAATTAAGGTACACTCGGGTCTCAGCTTGAGCATGGGCCATGTCTGCTCACCGACCCAGGCCTGTCTGAGAGTCTGGAAAACTGCAGATTCAGGCCGATGGGGCTCTGTTTCTGGGGGTACTGAGGACCCTCCTGTGAAAGAGATCATGATGTTTTCACTGGTGGGATCCAGACAGACACATTGGAGCAATTGGAGCATGTCTCGAGTATCAGCAGAATGACCTCAGGTTTTAGGGAGGGAATAGCAGATTACTGAGAAAAAGATCCTCTGGTGAGAAGAAATCCCACTTAAAGATCTTGGTACAAAAGCGACCTTCAGAGTCCAGGGATAGATGGCTCTGTCGGGTTGTCTACTCGTTTGCCTAGGTCTTTGAAGGCTGGGTATTAGGAAGCATATTGTTGTAATATATAAAAACAGAAATAGCTGCTTTGTGTAAATCTCTGCAAATTTGGGGGTAAAAGATAGACATTTTGGTACTTCTTCTCCCATTCTTGGAGATTTATATAAAGAAATATTCTCTCCATTTGATCATAAAATTGCATCGAAGCTTTGGCACATTGGATTCTGAGCCACTGAAAGTGAAGCATGTCAGAGCGGAGGTAAACAGCCATGAGCCTTGGTTTAAGGCTCGCTTGAGTGGCACAGAGGAGCAGTGAGCACCACGATGCCCAGTGTCCAGGTGCGGACTGTCCAGGAGTGAGACCTGCCTGTGAAATTCCAGAAATTACTTGAAGGAGAAGTCTTGAAAGTGGTCCAGTGAGGGCCACAAAAATTTCCACGAAAGTTATGCTTATTGGGGTAAAGGGGATAAAGAAGCAGAAAGTGTAGGTGGAGGAACAATGGGGACTAGGCTGAGGAGGCTAGAGGGGAAGATGCTCATAGCCAGTCCGAGGCAGCTTAAATTGATCTTGAATACTGAGATCGTATTGTGTTTTTGAAAGATCATTCTGGAGGCTGGCAGATAACTGATTAGATATGGGCAAAGTTGGAGGGGAATCTAATAACTTGACCTAATTCACAATATTTCTAGGGCTGCTCCTGGCTATAGGATTTGCCTGGTCCAGAAGGTGTTTCCTTACCAAGGACCTCTACTTGGGTGGCAGTCTGGAGAACAAGGTGAAAACTTGGTCTTTATCTTGAATTCTCTTTTGATTATTGTTTTCCAGTTATTCAAGAGTTTTTTTTAACTTAGAAGCATTTGTTGCAAAAGTCTTCATTTATGAGTCTTGATAATTAAAGCTTTGTCTCAAAAACTAATTTCTGCCTATATTCACTACAGTAAGAATTTTACGTGTATACCAGTAGGAGAAAATTTACATGGAAGTCCAAACAAAAGAAATTATTATAAACAAATTATTTTTCAATTACAGTTTACATTCAATATTATTTTGTGTTAGTTTCAGGTGTACAGCCTATTGGAAATAAATTTTAATTGTTATGTTGTCATCCATTTAAAATTCCCTTGGGGTTATCAGAGATGCTTTCCTATGGTGCGTGCTGAAGATCTAAGGGCTGTGAAGCATGGGCTGATGGATCGTATGGACAGAGTGGGAGGACAGGTTGTCATGGGTGAATGTAGTGACATAATGAGGGAGTTGTTGGAACTGATGAATTTATTATGGTTCTTAGTTCCATGTTTTTATGGCTGACAAGTATTTTAAAATATTGAATTGAAATCAGACCACTATCTTATTATCTTTGAAAAAATATAATTGAGCTCCTTAACAGTTTAAATATTTAAACTTTAAGAATATCATTAATCTGGAAAAAAATCAGAGCTGGCATTTGGTGAAGAAGATTTTAATATGCCTTGCTCCAAAGCACGGAGGACTTGAGGGTGCACTTCACGCTAACTTAATCAGTTGCTTTAAAAAACTGTGAAACATGTATTTTTATTCTCCATGTTAGAGTTTGCCGAAATGGCCAACTTTCTCATACCCTTAAAAGTTACTTTAAATATTAAAAAATTGAATAAGTAAGAAGAAGAAACATGGAAATCTAGTCTTCTGATTTTCAGTCCCGTGAACCTTCTAAAAAGGTTCAGAAACTTGTGTCCACCAGGGTGCAGATGAGCAGAGATGCTCAAGCTCTCCACAGCACCTCCAATCCTCTGCTCAAACGCCGTATTCCCTCAGAAATGGCTTAACATTTCTTGGTCAAGCCATAGTCGAGGACTATTCTTTTCATTGTGTTGGAAAAGATCTCCTCTGTTTCATTCTTATTTGTATAAAAAAATGGTTAAAATGGGACAATGCCATTTTTTTTACCCTGAATGGTGACTGCCAGCTATTAAAATGCTAATTTCAAAAAAAAATGACAAAAAACCAAATAGGAAAGCCAAAGACAGCCAGGAAACAAGAGGGATGAAGTCTACCAAGTGATTAATCATTTGATTAACCAGGTAAGTCTCTGGCACATTACTAATTAGCTCACTTACAAAGCCCGGGACTGAGCGGCCCTGGTTTGATTAAAGAGGTGCTGAGCCATTCAAACCTTGATGCTTGAGCTTCTTTTATGAAACAAAATGTGACTTTCATGCTAAGCTCATCTCTTTAATCCAGCTATGATTTCTCAGGCCATTGACACTCGGGCCTAGGCACATAAATCAAAGAGCAGAAAATGGTCCTCAGGAACATTCAGAGAATGTGATCCGTATTTTAGGACTCCTTTCCCCCACCCCTAATTTAAAAAAGCGTTGTTTAAATTCTGAGGTTGGAGTCACTACCTGTTGACTGTCTTAAATCTGCTGATTTTGATGACTCATTGGGTTATCCAGAGGCACTGGGAGACTCTATCCAAGTAGGAGGGTATAGATCAGCTCTCACTCGACTCTCTTTCTCTGGGAAGATTTATGAGCTGTAAAAGAGAATATTTGCCATTAATAATAAAACTATTTTCAGTTTTACTAGGGAGTCTGCCTTTAATACATATGCAAAGCTTATTTCTTCCTGGGTAAGTATTTCTATTGTTAATCACATTAATTTTTTTCCCCTCCAGACTGAAACATCCATCTTCTCAATGGTACTAAATTAGGGTGATCCAAACTGCTTAAGGAATAAAGAGACTTAGTGGCCTCCTCCTACTCCATGATTCTTCTTTGGATTCTCATTCAGGATTTTTGCTTTTTTAGTTTTAAGCGTGCTCAAAACAACTGTACTTGACTTGCTCAAGTTAAGTTTTCTACCAATGAGTTCAGCAGCTTCTCTGTCTATGGCGGGAATATTGAAATTAACACAGATGTTGGCTGGATCAACTGAAGTGTAAGTTAAGGCCAACACCCAGTTCTTATTCCACACTATTCCAGGTTGATCACATCCTGGCTGGGTAGACTTCATTCTGGGGACCGTATTTTGAAGGAGCATTGATAACAAAGAGCATGTCTGGTGAAGGCCAGGAAGAAGAGGGTTGTGTAGGGGAACTCTTATCATGAGGGCTACTGGCTGAGAAACTGGAGAAGGGAAGACTGGAGTGGATCTGCGGTGGAGGCACAGAGTACTTGTCTTTAAATAGCTGTAAGCATGTTGGGTAGCATAAAATGTATTCTTGTTCACATTGTATCCCCAGCAGGTAGCACAGTGTCTAGTAAAGAGTAACCATTTTTTAAGTACATGCTAGGTGTTAGTCATTGTAATAGTGGTTTTTTTTTTTTTTTTTGCTTACCTTGTCTCAATTAGAAATTGTTATTATCTCTAATTAATAGGTGAGAAAACTCAGGCTCAGAAAGATTAAGAAACTTACTCAAAATCATATAAGATAAGAAATATCTAATCAAGGATTCAAGCCAGGTCTGTGTCTAGGGTCCGAGTACTGCTGGTCATGGTGCTCTGCCTCTCAAGACACCTCTTCTGATACCACAATGCAGATGCTATCACTGGGGTTGTGGGTGAGGTTTCAGTGACCAAATTCTATCCCTTTTATCTTTTCTTTTGTGGATGAGGAATTCGGGTTTGGGGAACAGAAGTTACAAAACCAGTATGTTCCAGAGTCAGGATTAAAGCCCATGCCTGTCTTTGTACAAAATTCAACCTCTTGATAACTGTGTTCTACCATCTCCCTAGGGCAAAAAACTCAAGACATGCTTGTTTCTAGTTTGATTTAGCTGAAATATTTCTATTTCAATCAGAATCTTCATTACACTTATTTTCTTCTGCTTAACTTTTGACACTGTACGTGAACTCCTGGTTTGACCTGGTGCTCAGTAAGTTCCTGGATCCTCATCTGTCTGCTCCAGCTGACCTTCCTCCTTGATGGTGATAAGATAATACAATGTAAGTTTATGTAGGGTTCTGTGTCACTGTCAAGAGATCATGTACAAAAATGAAGCTTATCCTTACCACATTTAAATACTCCTTATAGCAATCCCATGAATAGAATTATTATTGTCTATGTTTCACAGATTAGCAATAGTCTCTCAGAGAGGTTAGGTAAGTTTTCCCAAGGTCACACAGCTAATTAATTAATGGCTAATTTATCCTAATAAGAATAATAATAATAGTAATAATAATAGTACATATGTTTTTTCTACTACGTGTATGCTAGAAATTCTTTTGGCACCTTCCACCTTAACTTGTCAACTTTTTCCTTCTTACCCTTCAAACAGCATGAAAAGACCAGAGTTAACCAAGACATCATCAGATAAATACCAACATCTTAACAATCATCAATTTAAGGAGAAAACTATAAAAAGTAAAAAAAAAAAGTATAACTTGTTCTATTCTTTTTTTTTTTTTTTTATCCTCATCCGAGGACATTTTTCCATTTTTTACTCAGATAGAGCGGGAAGGAGAGAGAGGAAGAGAGAGAAACATCGATGTGAAAGGGACCCATCGAGTGGCCGCCACCCACACGACCCAACCAGGGCCAGGGACAAACTGCAGCCAAGGTACATGCCCTTAGTGGGAACCGAACCCGGGTCTCTCTGGACCACAGGCTGACGCTCTAACCGTTGAGCCAAACCAGCCAGGGCACTTGTTCTATTCTTAAAGATAGGAATTCATTATAAAGTAAGGAAATTTATTATAAAGTAAAGTATAGCTCTATGTATAGCTATGTGTGGGTGCTCAAAGTGGCCCTTTTCAGTTTAGAGGAGATTTAGTTAAGTAATCTGCCCTGATTAAGAAAATCTAAAAATTAAGATGAATATGCATCTATGGTCTTAACAGAAGAACGGAAATGGATTTGAACGTGTGTGAGTTAGCAAAAGCTATACTTTATAGATCCTTTGACATATGGAGCTCAGGCATGGATAGATCAATCTGCCTGCTGTGATGGAGTAGATATCCAACCACCTGCTTTGCATGATGTGAAGGTAGGGAACTTGACCAAGCAGACTGTGGTGGACCTGACCAAGGTGTACTGGCAAGAAAGGACTCCACAGAACCCAGGACCCCATAAAGTAGCTCACTTAAAGCAGAGAAACTGTATGACTTATAAGTATATCTATCCAGCCTCTTTCTCTTTTGTGAACTCCAAATTTGAATATCCATCCTGACATCTCCACTTAATAGGTCCATAAATAATCTCATGATTTTCTCTGCTCAAAACCCTCCACTTTTTTCCCACCTTGCTCAGAGTGTAAGTCTATGTCCTTACATGATCTCCAAGGCCCTTATGATCTGGCCTCTGCTTACCTCTCATTCTTATTTCTACTCTTTTCTATTTGGTTCTCTCTGCTGCAGCCACTCTGGCCTCTTTGTTCTTTCAGATGCTGGGTCAAAAAGTAGGTACCTATGTGATGTTGGGAGGTACTTCCAATTTGTCCTTCTGTAGCATTTGTAGCAATGCACACTCCCACAAATAGTGTTTGAGAGGACTTGTCTCCCTTACCATCCACGTGTGTTTAAACTATGAATCATCATCAGTTTGTAAGAGAAAAGTGTCACCTTAGCCTGTTTTTCATTATGAGTGAAATTGAACATCATGTCTTATTTAAAAAACCCATTTGTATTCTTCTGTAAACTATGTACATGCAATTTGACCGTTTTCAATAGGATTAGTGATATTTTTAATTAATGTTCTCTGAATACCCTTTATATATTAAATAATCTCGTTGTGATATAAGTTGCAGATATATTTCCCCAAATATTTCATTTGTCTTCTGACTGTTTTCTAGTCATTC